TATATATATAGTGTCCAGTAAAAGTGTTTACTCCATTAGATGTTTTACCCTTTTATTGCAAATATAAATCTGTCCAAGTCAATTCAAATTGTTTCTTAAAAAAAACAATTGAATAAAACTTTTTTCAGTTACAAAATGAAATAAAATTTCTACAAAGTACTGCTAGCTAAATAAAATGCATCCCCTTTAAAGTGACATAATTCAACTCAGACAAATAATTATTGAAAAAGACAAGTCAGGGGATGGGTGCAAAACATTGTTTAAGATCCTAAACAGCCCCAGGAGTTCTGTTAAATCCATATTAACAACACAGTTCTTTATGGACGCCATCAGATTGCCCTCAAAGATTTCACTATTTTCTCTTCTGACTTTACAAGCCCCCCAGAGCCAGCTGCAGAGGAGCACTTGACCTTGGAGTCCTGGCAAACTTTAGTCAAGATTTAATATAAGTTTTTCTTCTTACTGTTTTTCACAAAGCTCAGTGAAGAAACCAGGCAACAGTTACTCCCATCATATCTGCTGAAGTCAAATAGAGAAGTGAAAACAGTTTTGCAATTAAGTAATTCTCGATACATGGCATACATGTGGCTTATAGCACAGCAAGTGAAATAACTGAAATAATGCATAAAGAAAACATTTATTTATGATGCACAAAAGCAGTCCATATAAAGTAATTAATTATACAATATAACACATTTGAATTCAGTGAAAACGAGTTTTTTTTACATAAAACATGAAAATGACAAATATTGAGGTTTGATAAATGACTCCTCTGAAGAGTCTTTATTGGGGCTGCAGTTCCAGAATGTCAGCAGACGTTTGTGCCACGCTCAGACGTATAGTTTGAACACCAGACACGTTCTGTTCCGTGAGTCTACTCCTGTTTTTCAGACAAAGAGTTTCATCTGTCAGAAGACTCAGCAAACGACTCCTCAGTTTCTGTGACAGCAGACAGAGCAAAGGGTTCACGCAGCAGTGAGAGAAGGCGAGGATTCGACAAACGTTGTAGGCGACGTCCAACCGTACGGCTGCTTTACATTTATCGGGTTGGTTGGTTAAGGATTTGATAAAAAGTAAAAAATTATAGGGTCCCCAGCAGACGACGTAGGCTGCTAGGACACAGAAAACTATACTTGTAGCTTTGTGCCTTTGTCTGTTTGTAGCCTGGAAAACTTTTGTCATGATAGAACAATGGCAGAAAACAATGATGAGGAAAGGAAGTAAAAAGATGAATGAAACTTGGAAATAATATCCCAGCTCAACTTCAGAGAAATCCTCACAGGAATCTTCTTCCAGCTCCATTTTGCTGGCGTCGTACACGGACACGACTACACTGATGAGCCAGGCAGCCACACAGGCACCAACGCCACACTTTCTCCTTACACTTTTGTTCGGCCACCTGTTCAGCACCACAGTAACGAAACGATCCGCAGTCAAGGCAGTGAGTATGAAGATGCTGCTGTACATGCCAACGAAGTACACCGCGGTCATGAACTTGCATAAAAAGTCCCCGAACACCCAGTGGTGGAGGTGGTAGTAGGCCCAGAACGGGAGGGAAGCAGTGAAGATCAAGTCAGCACAAGCCAGGTTCAGGATGAGAAACTTAGGGACAAAGGTTTGGTCTTTTTGGGTGACGAGAAGAAAAATGAGGAGGGCGTTTCCTATGACACCGATGATGGTGAACAAGATGAAGCTATATCCAGAGATGGTTGTAAAATCAACAAAATGACAAATAAATATAGCTTCGTCAGTGTCGTCTCCTCCAGCATCAGTCGATTTGTTGCTGTACTCCATTGTATCTGTAAAACACAAAACTAGTTTGTCAACCTGAAACAAGCAGATCATCAGCTTTCATAAAAGTAACCTGGCATTTTTCTCAGAACAAGGAGAGAAACTCAAAGCGTTTACAGTAAATGAACAAACTCACCAGAACATCAGCAGCCAGGTCTTATGTTCAACCACACTTTGGAGAAATAGCTGAGCTGTAGAAAAGCGGATGTAGAGTTGTCCTTTTTGTTTCGAAACGGGTCACAAACTGCTTGATCAGTGACTGAGGAGGAAATGCAAATTTTTGAAGTAAAACAAAATCTAAACATGACAGCAATGTGTCGTTACACATCTACACATTTCATTCTTTGCACATTTTTTTTCAATTGACTCAAACCTTTTTTTTAATCTCTCAAAACAGGTAAAAACTAGAGTCAAAATATTGTTTTTTTTGACTTGTGACCTTGTGTTTCTTATTAGTTTATGTATTAAAAAAACTGGACTAAACAACCAACAGTTGAAAACAACATTTGGACCAAAATATTAAAATGGTTAAACATGAATTACACAATGTGGGTTTAGATCAATTAGAATGAAAATAAAAACAGGTTAAAAAAAGACAGAAAAATCTGTATTTAATTGATTTTTTTAAATTAATTTTCTTTTTAAAGCATTCATTTGTATTGTGTTTTACGGGCAGTTGAGTGGTTTCACACACTCAGGTCAAATTTGCTGAGCAGTCTCCTGAGTCACCATCCTTCTTTCTCTTCTGTGTTCTTTTAGTGATAACAGAACTTTTCAGAAATTCAGTTACAGTTAAATAGTTGACTTATTGAGATTTTAGAAACTAAAAGAGATATCATTACAGCTACGATGCCACTGATGCAAGAATTATTACAAGAACCTAAAGCTAGAAAAACAAAAATTAAAATAAAACACTTTATCATGAAAAACCAGAAAGTCTTGTTTGAATAAAGTGAAAACAGCTTTTCTTGAACTAATAAAACTTTTATTATTTTTTTCACAAAAAATACAGTACATCGGGTTCTAGCGATTACTTAAAAAGTGCTTACTCTCACATACGTTTGATACAATACTGGACATTTTGCAAGTGCGTGACCTTTGCACATAACGTACTACCGTCATACATTCCACCACCACCCCCTCCGTCATCTGTGAGAATTGTATACACACATCACTTTTACACTCATATGCATCCTTCACTTTACTTTTATCAGCATTAAGCTTCTACTATAGTTGCAATATTCAACTTTTTTAGTATAAAGATCTCTATTTTTTACACTACTGAGTACCCCTCCATTTCCTGTTATTTTTGTGTTGATTTCACACATTCATCCTTATCTGTGTCCATGTTGTATTACACATTTACTGTCTGTCACTTTTGTGTTTATTTACAATGTTATTGGATTGTGCAATTTCAGCTGATTACTTGTTTATTGTTGTAACTGGGAAGGAGAGTAACACAATTTCAATTCTCTTTCGTACATATGAAGCATTGACAATTATACTACTTGAATCTTGAATCTTGAATACAAAATAACAGTTTAACAACATGAAATGTAAAATGACATTGAGTTAAAAAAATAAAAGGTAATTGTTTTCAAAATTAAAACAAAATAAGGCACCAAAAAACTACAAGACATGAGGAGACCCAATCGTGCTCTACTATGGTGACGCCATACTCAACTGGCAAAAAGATAGAAGCGGAGGGAATAAAACTATTGAGGTGGATGAGGGAGGCGGATGCAGCTGAGAATGATGGGAATGGGGAACAGGTGAGGTAGGATGAGTGAAGACTGACTGTGGAAAAGTATTGTGAGACATGGTTGGTGGTTCAGAGGAAGACATGGAACCAAAAAACAAAGCTTATGCACTAATAAACAACAAAAATTTACTTGCATAAAAACTGCTTTATATATGTTCTGTGTTAAATACATCCAAAAATACAAACTAAGTAAAAAAAACATACATGCAGAAGTGTTTTTTCCTGTGAAGAATGACTGTCTTAACAGTTACTCAGCTGAGGTTGGTGCCATGCTCAAGTGCAGTTGAATATCAAGCTTGTTCTGATCGGTGACCCCCTTCCTGTTTTTCAGACAAACCATTTTAAGAAGGCTCAACAGATGTTTTCTAATTTTCTGTGACAGCAGACAGAGCAACGGATTCATGCAGCAGTGAGAAAAGGCAAGGATTCGACAGATATTGTAGGTGGTTTCCAGTCGATTCACTGCCTTACAGCTTCTGGGGTGGTACAAGGACTTAATAAAAAGTAAAGAATTGTACGGTCCCCAGCAGACGATATAGGCTGCAACAACACAGAAAAGCACACTGATAGCTTTGTGCTTTTGCCTGTTTGTTTTCTGCAAAACAGTTCTGATAATGGCACAAAGGCAGAAAATAATGGTAATTAATGGAAGCAAAAATAAAAATGAAACTTGGAAAAAGTATCCCAGATCATCATCAGCAATGTGTTCACAGTAGTAATCATTCTCCACCTCTATTTTGCTGGTATCGTAACCGGATGTCATGAGGCTGATGAGCCAGGCAGCCACACAGGCACCGACTGCACACTTTCTCCTTACACTTTTGTTCGGCCACCTGTTCCGCACCACAGTAACAAAACGATCCACAGTCATGGCAGTGAGTATGAAGATGCTGCTGTACAAACCAACAAAGTACACCCCGGTCATGAACTTGCATAAAAAGTCCCCGAACACCCAATGGTGGAGGTGGTAGTAGGCCCAGAACGGGAGGGAAGCAGTGAAGATCAAGTCAGCACAAGCCAGGTTCAGGATGAACGTTTTAGTGATAAAATTGAGATCTTTTTGGGTGACGAGAAGAAATATGAGGAGGGCGTTTCCTATGACACTGATGATGGTGATCAAGATGAAGAGATATCCATTGATGTTTGCAAAATCATAAATATCACAATAACCAGTAAATCTATCTCCATCACTGTCGTCTCCTCCATCATCAGCCAGCTTGTTGTAGTACTCCATCGTATATTATCTGTGAAACATGGACATAAAACTGACGTTTATAAAGTATGTTTTATCTGTTTTGATCTTTAGAAATTATGGTCTATTTGCTTTCTAAAATATTTTTAAATGTGTTGACTATAAACAGACAATCATTTTAAGTTAAAAAGAGACAAAAGATAAAAGAAAAACCTTCAATAAAAGTAAAAAAACTATTGTGTAGCTCACATGTCAAAAAGGAGTGAGAAGAAGTAAACCTATTTAGTCCCAGCCCTTTACCATTAGATATCAGTTTTACTAATCAAAGTCCTTATTAGTACAAAAACTATGGGATAAATCTTGTTCAGTTTAGTGAAATTTATTTTCAAACCAATGCGTTCAATTTCTAATTATGCACATTCAGATTCAATGAGCAATTCAAATTCAATTCCTGCTGGCACAAGATTTATCCCATAAAAACACACATTTAAAAATTATTACATATGGAATATTCAAATATTAAATACAGGCTATTGTCATATTTTCACGTATCTTCACAATTCATAAAAACAATTCCCTTAAACTTTATTTCAAACAGTTTCATGTTATGATCATTGCTTCAACTCCATACAAATTATTACACAATTTCACTCCACACACAGAAATGTAAAAACTTTCTCACAGTGCGCACAATAACAACTTTAACTTTAGTATTTTTTTTATCTGTGTCTCTTGATCGACTGCCTATGGACAAACAGCCATTAAACTGTAATTTCCTTCCTGAAAAATAAATAGTGTCCTTACTTTGAGCATTTTTAGGTAAATTTTCATGTTTGGCTCGGTACAAAATTTGTAGCGAAAAGGTAA